GCAGGGGGCCCCTCCTCCTCGGGGTGGCTGCGGTGGGGGACCTGGGCCCCCCCCCCCCCCCTCGGGGATGGGCCGGCGGGAGCTGCGGGATCACGTACTGAGAGGCTTTCAAATTTCTTGGCTTCGGTGATGTGCACCCAGCTGTCCGTCTCCACCACCTTGATGTGTTTCACCTCGTCATTGAATCTGGGCAGAGCACACGGGAGTGCCGGTCACTACGCGAGCCACACGGCCCCCGGCCCCCCAGGGGTCCAGGCTCATTGTATGTTTGCTGAGGGAAGACCCCGGCCCTCGGCCCACATCTCCTGCTCCTATGGCTGCAACCTCTCTCCCCGCCCCGGCCGGGGCCTGCCTCCTACCGCTTGTCCATCCATCCATCAGGCCACCCGTCCGAAGCCCAGACTCCCGGGTCAGCCAAGGCCTCAGGCCCCGAAGCTCCCCTCCTCCACCCAGCGCCGCTGTGATGTCCTGCCTCGGATTCCGCCTGTTCTCTGCACTGGGAACGTCCCCCTCCCCATTTCCCCATCACCTGGGGAGGCTTTCACAGCATGGTTTGTAAGTCAGAGGCCTGACCTTGGCCTGTGAGGCCCCAAGGGAGCACCCTCACCCCAGCTGGCCGGAGGAGCTCTTCCTCAGACACGCCAGGCACAAGCCTGCCATGCCCTGGCACTGGCTGTCCCCTCAGCCCAGAATGCTCACCCTCCTGCCACCCTCACGACCCTGCCTTGTGTCCAGGTCTCAGTTCAAATGTGGCCTCATTGGAAGAGCGCGTACCCCTTGCCTCCGAATCACAAAGCCACACAACGACATCACAAGTAAAGAAAACGACACGCCAATATCCCCTATGACGACAGAGGCACGAATCCTCAACGCACTCTCTCCATATGCACGTCTATACACACCAACGTATAAAGAGGCCTTTACACCACGACCAAATGGGACATTCCAGGAATGCAAGGTTGGTTTAACATCCGGAAACCAGTTACTGGACTAAACGGTTGTTAAATAAGCAAACGCCCAGCTGGCCAGCCCCCTCTCCCGTGGGGCCTTGGAGAACACCCACCACTCTGTTTCTCCTGGATTCAAAGTGAGCTGAGCGTGCGCAGCCCCACCCCAGCTCCTTGGACAAGACCCGTCTGAGCCCCGCTCCCGAATCCTGCGGGCCAGGCACCCAGAAGGTGCTCCACGAATTTCTATCAGGCGAGAGACGTCTCTGCCACTTCACTGCTTGGTGCTGCCCCAGTCTCTGCCACAGGCCTGCCAGCACGCCTCACGTGCCACTGATCTCCCAGGGCCCTACTGAGACTCTCACTGCGGGAGCCCCCACCTGCACTGGGTCACACACCTTACGATGCTCCCACCACCCACGGTGGGTACAGCTGATCTCTGCTTGAGCGCAAGTCCTATGTACCAGGTGACCCAGGCTGTGTCCAGCTGATACTCACTAGACATCTGTCACTTTCAAGGCTGCAGGTGTCCTTTGGTTTTTGTATTTTAGAAAAGCCAGCGCATTTGTTTCAGGCCCAAACATTAGTGGGGCCTCTTGGAAAGCCCGTGGGGACCGTGGCAGTTTGTCCACCTAGGTGGGGGTCTCGTCCTCAGTTCTGGCTCCTCCTAGCTGCCCAGATCCCGACCCCTCCAGCTCTTCCACCCCAGGGGTCGTCCAACAGCCATTCTGTACAGTGGGACCCTGCCCTGAATGACTGGGGCATGACCACCTGCAGCCTCCCAGTAATGCAGGAAGGGGATGGGGGTGCGTTCATGCACGTGCACACGCACAGGCACGCTGGCCGGCAGCACGTGCTCAGGCGGGGACCCGCACCCTGCTGCTGGGGCGCTCATACCCTCGGCCCCCACCGGGCACAGATGCAGAGGAAGCTGATGCAGGGGGCGGGAGAACAAAAGCTGAGATGGAAAGTTGGGGGTGGGCTGTGTGCTCAGGACCTGGCTGCGGCCCACTGAGCCCGGCTCCCGTCTGCCCCTAACGGCCAGAGGCGCTCCTGCATCTCCTACCGAGAAGGCCTCTCTGCTCCCTCGCGTTGGCTTCTGTGACTCGATACCAGAAGCACCCAGGCGGTGACTCTGTGGCCGTCCGGTGGCCGGGTCGCTGGGCCTGCCCCACCCCCCACCCAGCACCCACCCAGCAGACCCGAGGGGGCCTTCCCTGGATATAGGTCACCCTGCTGGGAGCTCTTGACCCCATCAAGGTCACGGCAAACCAGAACCCTCTATTCACCAGCCTGAGACTCCTGTCCAGTGTGTGTCCTATGCCGATGGTGACCAATGACCAATCAGATTCTGTCTCTTGAAGAGGAGACAGAAGACCCACGAGGGGGCAGAGTCTGAGCAGGGCGACCCCAGCCCAAAGGCCACGGGGCTGGAGCCCCGAGCTGGCAGCAGCGTGACTGCCCGTGTTCTCCAAGGCCACCTGTGGGGCCGCTGGAAGTCCCTGACCTCTCACCACAGGCCCTGTCCCCATCCCTGAACTCCTCTGGTCCCCACCACCTGAAAAACGCCAGACCAAGCCCACAGGGTGGCTTCCGGCAAGGCCGACGTCACGCTTGTCCCGGGCCAGGTGCATTGTGCAGACCCGCTGACGCCCTTGCATCTCAAAAGTGCCCTGGCGTGGGCAACGCATCCCAAGGCCACACCCAACAAGCCCAGAATCCGGAGGGGATGTGGGCTCCTTTGGCTCAGAACGGCATGGGGGGAGGGGTCTCTCTGAGCCCCAGCCTCCACGTACTTGATGCTTATGGCAAAGCGCTCGGCCTCGGCCGGCCGCTCCCTGATTAGGTAGGTCCCGCTGGCGTGGGATTTGAGCAGGTTGTCGGTCTGCTGCCGTTCCATGTTGCCGGCAAACCTGGAGCAGAGGGGGAAACGGGGGCTGTTCACTGACGCGGCTCTAACCCGCTGAAGAGCCTATTGGGACGTGAGGCCACGCCCCCAGGAGGAGGGGCGAGCAGTGGGCGGGGTCTGGAGGAGACGCGCGGGGCGGGGCATCCGCGTGCCAGCTCACAGCCTGCACAGGGAAGGTGGCTGGGGGAGAGATGAGGACCGCAAACAGGCCCCAGGCACTCCACCGCGGCCTCCACCCTCCAGAACCTTGGACCTGCAAGAGGCCGTTCAGGGTAACAAGACATTAGATCAAATTTCCTTTCCAAGTTGTCGTCGTTTAATAAGCAGTGATAAACACAAGCTGCGTTTGTGTCCTAACATACTGGAGACCATCAACATCTCCAGGGGCGGGTTTCCGACACACTGACTGAAAGCTTTTCTCGCCAGCTCTATGGAAATGAAGCCCAGCCCGACCCCCAACCTCAAAAACAAAGCCTGACCCCATTTGCACCTCCCTGTCGGGCTGAATTGGGACTTCTGTAAACAGATTCGTTAGAAAATTACTCCATCAAGTGAAAATCACAGCTTAAGGCCTCCACCCTCCACATGAGACCCAAATGCAGGGTGAACAGCATACTGGAACAGACCCAGGGGTCTCAGAGACCCAGAAGGGGCGGTGCCGGGGAGGCCAGGGACACCGAGGGTGCAGGCACATCACACCACTGGGCACAGGGGTCCCGGGGTCGAGCGGCCCGCTGCTCTGGGGCTGCCACAGGGCGAGCTTCTGCAGGGCCATGGTCACTGAAGGGCAGTCATTCTTCCAGGCAGCCGGTGAGCCAGGCGGCAGAGTGATAAAAGCTGGCCCCGAGGCCGACCTGCATCTGAGACTCGTACCTACCGCGTCACCTCCACGTTTTATTCATCAAACAGCCCCACTGCTCTCATCAAGCCCGTATGAGCAAATACAATGATCATTTTGGCCTTAAATATACCTCCTTCTATATACTGATATTTTAGACAAGGCTCAAGTAAGATCACATTTTAAAAAGGGCTTCGTTCTCCCAAATGTTAGAACCTGATGATCTGTTTATAGACGGGGAAACAGCGGCCTCGGGGTACAGAAGACTCCCCCGGGCTCCCAGCGATTCAGAGCTGAGGAGGGGAGAGGGGGGCCGCGTGCAGCCGCCCTGGGGACACGAGAGGCAGCCTGGGGCCCCCGCTGATCCACTCACCAGGGGTATGCGGTGTAGTCCATATCCCGGGACGGCGGCCGGCTGATGGGCGGCTGGCAGGAGAGAACATTCGGGTTGGTGTATCCCCAGGGACTGTCCACAGAGCAGGGCCCAAGCGACGTCCTATCATCAATGACCCCGGGAGCCCAGCACTGGCTACCAGGACGTCTGTGGACTTAGGCCCAGAGCCACTGGCCTGGGAGGTCCCTGAGGGCAGCAGCCAGGACTCACCATCTCTGAGTAGATGCTCAGTGGGTCTGATCGAGTGAATGATTGATTGATTGACCGAATGAATGAATATATAGCATCCAACTAACAGTGCAGTGTAAGGAGAGACGGCGACCCGAAGGCGGCTACGACTGCTCAGCAGTGGACAGAAGCACACCCTATGCCTCGCGTCCTCCGCAGCAGACGGGCCGCAGCCCCAAGGACAGGCACTGGGCCGGCAGCAGCGCACTCTGCAGGTGGAGAGCCGCGTCTGCAGCAAACCTCGCGGCTCTCCAGACCCCGCGCTGAGCCCTCGCTGGCCTCACCTCCCCTCACTGGGCCACAGGCTGGGAAGAGCCTCCCAGACTACCTGTCCCTTCCCCACCCCATTCATCATGCAGATGGGGAAACTGAGGGCCAGGGTTGGGAAGGGACCTCCCCCCCCTGCCCCCCCCTCCCCCGCAGGCCACCCAGTGCGTTAGTGACATTTTCTTCCTCTGCTGTCTGGTCCCTTTGACCTGCCAGCAAAGCCTGTCTTAAAATGCTTTCTCCTTCAACTGGGCAATGGCCTGCACAGAAGCAACAGGCTGGGCAGTGGGGCCAGAGGCCGGGCAGGGCCCGGTAGGTGGACCGGGGCTCCCAGGGGGGTCGGGCACCTGCCTCCTGCTCCTTTGGGAGAAGTTTCACTCTCTCACTTTTAGCTTTTTCTGGGGTGTGTGTGGTGATGCAATTGCTGGCTGACAGCTCGATGCCTTTTGTAACAGAGCAGAGTTTGCGCCACAGTACTCAGATGCAAGAAATGCCATATTGCCTCTTATCTAAACATCATAACATCTTAACTCTGATTCCTTATGTTCGAGGGAGAAGACTTATAAAGTCCCTCCAGTTTGGAGAAAGGCGGCTGGTCTTTGGTCCATTGCACCTGCTGCAGAGATGCCCATTTTAGTGTTTTTAAAACAGCCAAGCCCTCCCAAGAGGAGGGATCCCCTGCCCTTGGCCCTCCATCCCAGTTCCGGGGCCAGCTCACAACGGCCTGAACAAGTCCAGGGCGTCCTGAGTGAGGAGACCGCTCTCAGCACCCACGGCACCCTGGCCACCATGATCCAGAAGCTTCCATGGGTAGTACTCACCCTTCCATCCACTGGACAGGGCTTCACAGACGAGCTAGGGAAGTAACCTGACTTCCTGGTTTGCACCAACCGACCCTGGGAGAGGACAGATGGTCAGGGCCGGCGGGGCCTGGCCTGGCCAGTGGTGGGGGGAGGGGGCAATGTAGTGTGCACTCAGCTTGTCCTGAGGAAGACGAGGGGAGTCCCTGAGAAGCGCATCACAGCACCACCTTCCTGCTGTGATCTCAGCTGACCTCATCACCATTTGGGGCGCCCTCACTTCACAGATGAGGACACGCTGAGGCCCAGAGAAGTTACACGGCTTTTGCTCGGCGCTGGGACCAGAGCCCCCTCTCCTGGCTGCTGTTTCCTCTTAGCCACACCGGCCCTTCCCAAACTGTGAGGGGCGTGTGGACCTGGGGGTCTTGATAAAACACAGCACAGCGTGGGAGGGCCTGGGGGCAACTGTTCACTCTCTCCATTCGCTCTGCCTGGAAGACCCTCCCAAGGCCTTCTCGGCCCCCACTTTCACATCAGCAAAGTGTCTCTGCAAGGCCACCCAAACCTGATGGCCCTGGTGACAGCTAGGGAGGGGAACTGGGTGGCTGGGGTCAGCGTGGGGCAGACGCCGTACCGCAGACACCTTCTCAACTCCTGAATCTCCAGTTACATGAGGCCGAGTCTAGTGCAGTAAGTTCATAAGTAAGTACGTGCTGACAAGGACCACCACACAACAACAACGACGGCAGTAACAGTACTTGGACACTTGAACACACGCACTATAGCATCAGCTCTAAGCAGGTCGCCCTGGTCACCCAGCCCGGGCAAGTGCCCCGGTGTCCTGCGGTACCGCGTAGACCCCGTGGACAGGGGCTTGGGAGATCTCGGAGCAGCACTGATAGCTCCCCTTTCTCAGGCCTTATAACCAGAACAGCAGGTTTCATGGCTCAGAGCCGTAAACCATCACATGGACCTGTGTCCGTGTTTGGGCCTCCTGGGGCAGGGCGGTGGGCGGGTCTCGGTCATGCTACACCCCCAGTGCTGAGCAAGGTGGTGCTGGCCTGAACTGGGGCAGGTGGGGAGCAAGGTGGGCGCGGCATGGCCTGGGCGGGGCCTGGGGGATGTGTGTGTGCAGGACACAACCCAGGCAGGAGGCAGACAGGGAAAGGGCTTGGACGCCAGGAGGACGATCTCTTCCGTGAGGGGATGCTGCACTCCCTACCACCTCAAGGCAAACACCCCAAGGTGGGCCCTGCTAACAGCCCACTTCTCTCGACCCCGATGATCTCGCACCCCAAACTCACCCCTGCCTGGATATGCAGGACCCTCTGCCTCTACCCTGGGGAGTGGGGAGGGGGTAGCTGGGGGCCCGAGACCCTCCCAGGTCCAGGACCCACCTCCCACCACTGAGACTCAGGGTCGCCTCTCAGTAGCTCAATCACATCACCCGTCTGGAAGGTCAGCACCGGCTTCCCGGGGGGAGCAGGGTTGCCATGGTAATTCTGCACGGCCACCATCTTGGGACCTGCGAAGGACAGGGCAGGAGAGGGCGTGGCTCGGTGGCTTCGTCCTGGTGGCAGCCCACCCCAGGTTGACCTTGACCTCCCTGGCCTTCTCAGACCTCTCAGGGCTCTTGGACGTGGGCCATGGGCCTGTATCGCCCCTCCCTAAATTCTTCCTGTAAGGCTCCCACGTCCCTTTGTTACATATCACAAGTAAACTATTTATGAGATTAACAGATTCAGGGTATCATTGCAGTAGGCAACTTATTTTTAAAGAGCGCTTTCTGTGCCGTCATCCAAACACCTTTCGAATCTGTGACTGAGAGTCAGCAGCATGCAGCATGGAGCAGAAGACGGGGGCACCCATCCTGTTAGAGGCGGGGGCCGGGTCAGCGACCTGCCAAGGCCACGCGGCCACTCTGGGGCAGCCCTGGGCTGACGGGGGGAGGCCCGCCTGAGCCCCCCCAAAACTTGTAGGCCTCTCCTAGACCGTGCCCTGCTCTGACCGACCCAGCCCTGCATGGGCCGCCTCTGCCAGGCCTGGTTCCTGAAGCTGGTGCCCCAGAGGCAGCAGCATGGTTTTTGTTTTCTATTTTCATGATTAGGTTGGACTCTGTCCGCAGCTCGGGCTGCCTCATACCTGGTGCTTTCAGTTCTCCTGCTACCCAACGCAGAGCAAGGGGGACGTGGGGGGACGGAGAAAATGGTAAAGTGGCAGCAGCAGTGTCCCAAAGTCTGCTCTGCTCGGGGTCTCCGGGCTGCAGCTCAGGGCTTCTACTGGGCTGAAGGGACCCCGACTCTCTGCAGGCTGGGCCCTGGCCCCATGCCTGGCGCTGCGTCATCAAAAACTAAGGAAGCTCCCAGGGGAAGTGGCTGTGAAGGTGGGAGGGAGATGGGGCCGGAAGGCAGCACACACCCTGGGAGCCCGGAGCCAAGAACGCTGGGCAAAGGTGGCAGACACCGCGGCCAGGCCCAGGCTCGGCTCCCAAGGTGACCGCTGACAAGGACGATACCAGAGAAGACTGAAGTCCCACAGACTCACCTGGCCCCGCTCCAGAGGTGTCCTGTGAGAGCAAGGACAGAGGATAGTGAGGAGGGAAGGCTGCCCAAGCATCCCACACCCCCTGCCCCCCACACCCAGAGGGAAGGGTCAAGGAAGGAAGCGGGGAGGGGGCCAAGGACACGTCCTGAACGCCCACAGACATTTGTGATGGCGACAACCTAGTTCCCTGTGTGACACGATTCTTACTTACACCCTCCACCTTTGTACCCCTCCGCAGCCCTGGGACATCCGTCCTCTTCCCCTCCCATCCCTTACCATTAACTCCCACCTCCTCCAGGAAGCCTGCCCTGACCACCCCAGCCCAGGGCCTCCCTGCTCAAAGCTTGGGGTTTGTCGTCTCTGTCCAGGACGTGTCCTGCTGCATACACTAAATATTCTGTCTTCCCTCCTCTTTGAGGGCATCTCTGTAGCCCACGCAGGGCCCAGTAAGAGCCAGTTACATGCTGGTTAATTTGACTGGACCCCCACGGCTGGGGAGAGAAGTGACGTCCACAACCCATAAGTGAATTCAGTGACTCCGTCCCCAGGTCAGCTAAAGAGAGGGCTCTACGTCTATCAGGATGGGTGGCAGGTGGGCAGATGCCTGTCACAGAGCTGGGCACCCAGAGCCGCCAGCAAGCCACTGGGCAGGTGGAACGGGTGGGCAGCGGGCAGGGGGAAAGCTATCAGAGCCCAGGAGGCCATGCACAGGGACCCATTTCTACTGATGACCACAAAGGAAAACAAAGGCCCCTCATAACCAACAGGGGCTTTGCAAGCCGGCCTGGCCCCAGAAGCGAGAGGGCTGGAACGGTTGGGTCTTTCCGGCTCCAGGCACGGGGTGGCGTAAGGTGCAGGGCAGTGGGAAGGGAATGGTTTGGTGGACTCACCAGGTCTGCAGGAGAACCTGAAAAGGAAGCACATCGGGGTCAGAGCCGCTGGGCGCGCCTGAGTGTGTGAGCGAGGTGAGCTTCAAGGCCCTTCCTTTCAGACATGGATTACGGACATGCGTGCTTGGTGACTGCAAAAATCTCTCAATTACTTCTGATGGCAACTTCTGAGCTCTGGTTTTAGGGGCCCCACGGGAGAACACACACTGGGTATCAGGCCCAATGGCAAACAGGTTTTCCTGCATGAGCCAACCCTGCTCCAACAGCAGCAACTGCCTGATCACTGGACAGAACCTGGGCTCAAAGGGAAGATTTCCACGATTGATTAGTGACACCTGCCGTGGGTAAATGACAGAAGACGTGGTAGTCGTGCTACTCTATTTGTCAGCACCTCGGACATGGGACACCTCAGCTCGTCAGGTGGAAGGCAAACATTCTAAAGATTCTTTCCGCCTGCCCTGGGGCGACCCAAGGGGAGGACACAGCCCCAGGCTGGGCCCCAGCCATCTGACAAGCTGAGCTGCCACTCCACCACCAGACAAAACAAGCACCACGAGGGCTAACGTGTGGCTGATGTGACTTCAACACCGTCTAACGCGCAGTCGCAGCCTGCTTTGGGCAGACACAGGATCCGACAGACCCTGCGGAACAGAGGTTACAGGCGTCAGGCATCAGGCACGTGCCCTTGGGGGAAGCACCCGCTCCTTAAAATAAAACCAGGTGTCCACCACGGGCTCTCAGTGACACGAGGAGGGTGCTGATGACTTCAGCTGTCGAAGGATGTGCAACTGCCTACCTGGTAAAGCCTCAACTATACACATCATGAGAAACACAAAAACCTAAAAAGAGATGGGGGACGGGGGCGGCGGCGTTGCAAAAAAGGGAGAAAGCAGGTGATGGCTAACGGCAGCTGTTTTTGCCCTGGTGTGACAAAAACCAGGATCGCTTTCATCTCCCTTACTTTTCTCTATATCTTCTATGGGAAATGGGTATTTAATAATCAGAGGGAAGGGGAAACAGAAAGATTATTTAAAAATAAGAAAAGTCGGGCTTCCCTGGTGGCGCAGTGGTTGAGAGTCCGCCTGCCGATGCAGGGGACGCGGG